CACCATAAACACACTAATCTGAATGGCCGCAGGATGAACTAGACCACTTGGGGGGGATTTAGGGGGGCCTTCAGACACAGAATGGGGACGCGCAGTGGGAGGGTGACCGGCCTGGTACACACAGACATTTAATAAAGTAGCAGTGGAGTGGACAGAACACTCACACCACACCAATCACCTCTCAGTCTTTAATCTGTCCTCAAGTGAAACAACTGAAATAGTGCTCTCAGAAGTGATTCTCTCAATCTAATCACATTTAAAAGTACAAAAACTTTATTTATAACTTGAAGATTTCAGCTAATTTGAGCATTTCTTTATGATGAACTCACTAAACACTTTCTTAATATTTCAAAATTGACTTACAGATGAAAAAATCATATTACACCACAACTCAAAATGTTAATGTAAGCTTTATAGAGTAAAATGAAATTAAATTCAATTTAAATCTACTTAATCTAATCTGCTTAGATTAGTATTTTCTTGTATAATAAACTATATGGCCATCAAGCACTTTAGTGATTTTTAATCCAACAAATCTGCAGCCTCGTCTCATATTCATGTTCAGGAGGTCCTTAATATTCATAAACAGAGGAACAGTAAATGGTTTGGATGAACATGTTTGTGTACAATGGTAGACTCATGGCAGAGACCTGTCAGCTCACAGCTGAGAAATCTGAGCATATGCCGCCACCTTGTGGTGTAAAAAAACAACCAAGTTTATGAAGGTTCGGTCATCAACAGCATATTTTATTTACAGACCACATACATGCTCTTAAAACTAATAATTAATTAATATATAATTAATACAATAAAATAATTTATTTCGCTTCATTAACAGCTACTAGCGCTGCTCTGTAGGTGACCCGGTCCAACTTCAGTGATAGCAAAGGAGGGTAAAGTTCAGCTCCTCACTGCTGGGCTTTAGTTACATTTAAGGTATCATATGCCTTCAAAGAGGGGTTTAAGACATTTTTTTTGTTATCGCCCACAGCTAATTCTTTGGTGATACGAAGCTGAAGTCAGCTATTCTTGTTCGAATTTTCCCGTTCCACCTTAAATGGTGCAGCAGTTACATTCTGGCGCTTCAGGCTTCAATACTGCTGGGACTATTTAAGGTGGAACGGGAAAATTAGCTCGCTAGCTACCGAGGCATTAGCATACTTTTAGCGATTTTTTTATGCTTGTTACGAAGAAAACGACCATAATACATTGAAACGACATCAAACTAAGTTAATACAATGGTTATCGTAATTTTTAAAAGAGAAAATTCTCACATTTGTGGGATTCTTTGGTCGCTTGTGCTCTATCTTGCCAGTTTTTCTTTTGTTCTCATAACACTCCGTTTGGAGTGTGCCGTTTGGAGGGCCATATAGCCCTAACACTTCACTCTACCCCTCCATCTCAACAAAAATTGGGACACCCTAACCCTAGACGTGAACGCGCAAAACAGAGGGCCAAGTGCTAAGTGGTAAGGGTAAGGGGTGAAATGGGATTGGGCCTTAGAGCTAACATACTAGTTGTTTTTTTTCATGTTGTTGACCAGGTTTTGACATTTATGGACTGAACCTAACTCTAATAGCCATGGTTTGCCACTGATAATTTAAGTATGTATTAAAGACCTTTTAAATTTTGAAAAAAGTGAAATACCCTTTGTGATTTACTGCTTAATTTTACACACAAGTCATATTAACATGATGTCATTTGTGAAGAGCTAACTGGTGACTATACACATTCATTGATAGGTAGTAAAGAACTGAGACCCAGACCAGTGAGGATCGCTGAAATACGTGAGCCATCCTGTCTGGTAAACAGGAGGGTGAACATCTCATGAACCTCTGCCCTTATAATCCCCTTCTTTGCTTAATGATTCAGAATTTTCAACCTACATCAAAAGAGAATGGGCATCCTTTATAGAAATAAATGACCCCCCAGAAATTCAATCTACAACACTATAGGAAACTGAAAAGACAGTATTAAGAGGGAAAATAATATCATATTCTACATTTAAGAAAAAAAGAACATAGAAAAAGTAACAACATTAGAGCAAAAAACAAAAAATAGAAAAGACAATAGTAAATAAACCCACAGAAGAAATACACAAATAATTAAGGAATTATAAATTCCAGCTGAATTAACTGATAAATGAGAGGGCCAAATTTTTACTACAAAGACTGAGACATGAAAACTTTGAATATAGTAATAAATCTAGCAAATTCTTGGCAAAGATCTTGGCAAATCTTGTTAAAAGAAACAGAGAAAAAACAATAAGTCATTAAGGACCCAACTGGAAAGATTATGCAGACCCCAGATGAAATTAATAATACGTTCAGGAACTATTATGAAAAGCTTTATCTATCAGACCATGACTCAAAACTGGAAGACATAAATATTTTTCTAAAAAATATTAAACTACCAAAACTAACAGGAGAACAAAAGCAGTCACTAGAAGAACCATATTAGCACCATTGTTCATTAAATTAACAATGAAAATCGAACAAAATTTGAGATTTCCCACTGATATGAATACAGCCACAATTTCTCTCCACATCAAACCCAACAAAGATCCCACCATACCAACCAATTATTGGCCTTTATCACTCATCAATATGAATCTTATAATCATAAGTAAGGCATTAGCTAATAGAATAGAAACAGTTATTCCATCTCTAATTCACCCTGACCAAACAGGTTTCATCAAAGGCAGACACTCTTCCACTAACATGCGCCAGCTACTCAACATTATCCAATATGCTGCTGACCAGGAATCACAAACAGCAACTGTAACCCTCGATGCAGAAAAAGCCTTTGACAAAGTAAATTGGAAATTTCTATTCGCTACATTACTCAGGTTTGGTTACGGAGAGTCATTTATTCAGTGGATTATGATCTTATACATCTCACCCATGAAGGAATTCAGATGTTAAACACTCAACATAAAATTAGCTTATATGCAGACGACATCCTACTTTTCTTACAAAACCCATCCTCCTCAATAAAAGAAATGTTTCAAACTATCCAAAAAGTATTCTAAAATCTCAGACTACCCAATTAACTGGTCCAAATCCTCTGTTCTACCAATAAATAAGAACCTCTGTCATGCACCGCTTCAGACTTTCTATTCCATTAAGCACTAATTCCATCACATATTTGGGTATCAAAATTTCCCCCCCAGCTTTCAGAAGTACACAACCTTAATTACACCCCCCTTCTCAAAACAATAAGTGATGACCTCCAATGGTGGATAAACCTTCCCATTTCCCTCATAGGTAGAATAGCTATAATCAAAATGACAGTATTACCCAAAGTTAATTATTTATTCTCAATGATACCTTTTCAACCTCCAGTAACCTGGTTCAAGACTTTAGTCACCACTATCTCAAATTTTATTGGAAAAATAAACCACCAGGAATCAAAATGACCACATTACAAAATTCAAAAACCTATGGAGGTTTAGAAGCTCCACATTTTTACAATTATTTCCTTGCAAACCAATTGCAATATATTCTAAAATGGATAAATCCCAACAGGACAGATTACACATGGATTGATGTAGAAAAATCACTATGCAATGATATCCGGGTAGCAGACCTATCGTTTATCACCCAAACACTGAAAAAAACTGCTTTGAAAATCAATAATTGCAAAAACTCTGAAAGCTTGGTGGAAATTTCACAAAATCACAAACTCTCCTCTCTTTCTGAATATTAACTCCCCATTTGGAACAACCCTGACCTCCTCATAAATAAAAAAAACACTGCACTGTGCTTCCTGGATTGATAAAGACATTACACACCTTAAACATACCGTCGCTGTCCAATGAAAACCATGTATCTCCATTTTTGTTGATTTTTAGTTTTCTACATTATTTCAACAAACCAGCTGTCCTTTACATTGTGCAAATTCATGCTGCATGGACCAATGGAAATGCTCTAAAATCACCTGGAACAAAATCTCTCTACATTGACTTACATTGAAATGTAAGAGTGTTTTTGCCCTCTCCTGTAAAGTTACTATTTTGGAGATACTTGTTTTTCATTGGACAGCGACGATATGTTCCACAACAATACCCTGGTATCATTCTCATATCTTAACCAGAACCACGGCATTGGCAGCAATCACTTCCTCAAATTCCACCAGCTAAAATCCTTATTGTGCTCCATAATTAAAGGGACTGAAAATCCATTTCAGATTTTCTGAATATATCCTCTCCATACAAACTCCTATCAAAAATATACAAACTAGTTTCTAAATCAGATGAAAAAAATTGCCAATTACACAATGGAAAGTTCCAAACTACTCTATACAATCATGAACTCTCCCTCCTTTATTACCACACCCACACACACACACATACACAGAATTCTATCGTTATACAACAAATCTAATTCTTACGACACTATTGGTGTTGTTAATGTCGTTTGCTTCTCATCCAAGTCCAATGCTTAACTTTATCATTATTATTGTCATTATTCTTACTACTACTACTATTATTAGTATTATTATTATTATTATTAATTTTATGTATTATGTAATATTATTTTTTAATTAATATATAATATATAATATCTTGTTTTTGCTTATATATCCTCCCCATGAATGCATCACAAATAAAAATAATGTTTTAATAGTCCTCCGACAAGGAGGACAAAAAAATATCAGCATGAGTTGCCTTTTTTTTAATTAATTTTATGTATTATGTAATATTAATTTTTAACTATTTTTTTTTTCTTTTCTTGTTTTTGCTTATATATCCTCCCCATGAATGCATCACAAATAAAAAATAAAGTTTTAATAGTCCTCCGATGAGGAGGACAACAAAATATCTGTTATAAGTTGCCTTTTTTTAGAAAAAAACAAACTTTTTTTTTTTAAAGATCTTTAACACTCCTAATCACCTCTAAACACCTGGATTGTCAAAGTGTGCCACATGGGTCACTTACTCAGTTATGTCTGGACATAATCAGTAATCTACTGATTACTTTAATGTAGTTACAAACTTATTTGAGGGGGAAGTAGAGAACTGTTTAACACTACCCAAACCATCAGTCAGCTTATGTGCCCTTCCATACCAGTCTACATTCTCTTCATGAAGGTTTTGACCTTCACTCAGTATTATGTGCTCAACATCAGTAAAACCTGTAGGGTCCTTCGTCAGGTCGAATATTATCTCACAGATGCAAAGACGGTGCTTCCTGCAAAAACATAAACAATTCAGAAAAATTATGCGTCAACTGTTAAACTGATGCTCTTACAAACTAACTCTTCATTTCATGACCCTGTAAAATATAAATTGGCAACATCACAAAGAACAAGTAAATCCCAGTAAAACTCACCTCAGTAATACTTTCAAAGCCACTGTCACTGTCACGGTCACTGTCTGGTTCACAATAGGAGGAATTTATCTCCGTTTCCTTTTTTATAAGCAAAGTCTTTCCAGAACCAAGCAATATAAAACCAAACACAACCTTAATGAACTCTGATCGAAGCGTTCCCTCCAGTTGTGAGGTGGAACTGAGGATCATAGTGGCTAAGGAATACAGCAACGCTTTTCGTCTTCTTATTGCTGTCCAGTGTGTAACTCTGTAGATACAGGGGTTGACCGACAGTCTCGTTTTGCATCACCTCTCCTGTCACACAACACACCAAACGAGGAATCACACAAATTCTCCCTGTATATCCTCCGGGATTCACCAGCTTCTGTGTCAGATTAAACGCTGTTTCCCTGGCATATTTCCATAAACCAGCACTTTCCCTCGGCACAACAAAGAAGAGCTGAAGATATTCCCCAGGAGTGATCATCAGGGTCAGGTTAGTGGCGCGGATGTTTGGGTATTTATTGGAAAACTTATTGTGGACTGATGCTGATCCAGTGAGTAAATTATCTGTAGTAAAATGGAAAAGCACAATATTTAGGCTTCATTTTTTCATCACACATTACATGGACAGTAAAACATTCTGGGTAGCCCTCATTCTGCTACCAGAATCATATTTACACTATATGGACAAAAGTATTGGGACACCTACACATATTACTTACAGGAGCTTTTATGATATCCCATTACAAATCCATAGACATTAATATGGAGTTAGTCCCCCCTTTGCAGCTATAACAGGTTCCACTCTCCTGGGAAACTTTCTACAAGATTTTGGAGAGTGTGGGAATTTTTGCACAATCATCCAGAAGAGCATTTGTGAGGTTTGACACTGATGTTGGACGAGACGGCCTGATTCACAATCTCTGTTCTAGTTTAACCTAAAGGTGTTGGATGGGGTTGAGGTCAGGGCTCTGTGAAGGCTAGTTATGTTCTTCCACAACAAACTCACCCAGCCAGGCCTTTATGGACCTTGCCTTGTGCACTGGGGTTCATTTATGCTGGAACAGAAAAGTTACTTCCACAAACTGTTCCAGCTTGTTTAAACTTGTTAGTGAGTGATTCAACAGGGGGTAGACACTGTGCGCTTCAGCACTCGGTGGCCCCACTCTGTGTGTTTGCGTGGTCTAATGCTTCGTGTCTGAGCTGTTGTTGCTTCTAGGTGCTTCTATTTCACAATAATAACACTTACAATGGATAAAGGCAGATCTAGCAGGACAGAAATTTCACAAACTGACTTGTGGCAGAGGTGGCGTCCTATGACAGAGCCATGTTTAAAGTCACTGAGCTCATCAGTACGACCCTCTACTGCCAGTGTTTGTCTATTGAGACTGCAAGGCTATGTGCTTAATTTGATCCACCTGTTAGCAATGGTTGTAACAAACACCTGGGTGTCCCAATACTTTTGTCCATAAAGTGTATCTAAATTATAAATTCATCAATTGAATTTATTAAGACTGGTACTTCTGTGTTGTGTCCATAGAAAAGTCCTACTCTAAAATCTATAAGGATGATTTTACCCTTCTTAGCGCCGTGCATAGGTTGATACAGACGATAAGGTTGTTGCAGACTTGATGCAAACATGAGCAGATTGTCACCTGTAGAAAGCAAATCAATTCTTTAATTAATCCCTTGAACTGAAACGTGAACTAAAAGTGGAAGTTGCTTTTTGAATATTTGAAAATATTTGAAAATTCTGAAATAAGTGAAATGCGCTTCTTGATTTACGCACAAGTTAATTTTACACACAAGTTATATTAACATGATGTCATTTGTGAAGAGCTAACTGGTGACTATTCACATTCATTGATTGGTAGTAAAGGACTGAGGCCCAGACCAGTGGGGGCCACTGAAACAAGTGGATTAGAAGCGTGCTATCCTGTCTGGTAAACAGGAGGAGCTTCTATGCCCTTCCATCCCAGTTTACATTCTCTTCACAAAGGTTTTGACCTTCACCCAATATTATGTACTCAACATCAGTAAAACCTGTAGGGTCCTTTGTCAGGTCAAATATTATCTCACAGATGCAAAGACGGTGCTTCCTGCAAAAACATAAACAATTCAGAAAAATTATGCGTCAACTGTTAAACTGATGCTCTTACAAACTAACTCTTCATTTCATGACCCTGTAAAATATAAATTGGCAACAGAATCACAAAGAACAAGTAAATCCCAGTAAAACTCACCTCAGTAATACTTTCAATGCCTCGTTTTCACAGACAGAGAGGTCACTGTCTGGTTCACAATCCGTTTCCTTTTTTACAAGCAAAGTCTTTCCAGAACCAAGCAATATAAAACCAAACACAACCTTAATGAACTCTGATCTAAGTGTTCCCTCCAGTTGTGAGGTGGAACTGAGGATCGTAGTGGCTAAGGAATACAGCAAAGCTGTTATCTTCTTATTGCTGTCCAGTGTGTAACTCTTTGGATACAGGGGTTGACCGACAGTTTCGTTTTGTATCACCTCTCCTGTCACACAACACACCAAATGAGGAATCACACAAATTCTCCCTGTATATCCTCTGAGATTCACCAGCTTCTGTGTCAGATTAAACGCTGTTTCCCTGGCATATTTCCATAAACCAGCACTTTCCCTCTGCACAACAAAGAAGAGCTGAAGATATTCCCCAGGAGTGATCATCAGGGTCTGAATGGGGGCAGCTTTGGTGATGTCGTCTGCACAGCTTTGGGACGTAATGATTCCAGATGTCATCGGGTTAGTAAAAGTGGGGTGGGTGTTTGGGTTTTTTTTCTCATTGTGGCCTGATGCTGGTCCAGTGAGTAAATCATCTGTAGTAAAATGGAAAAGCACAATATTTAGGCTTAATTTTTTCATCACAATGACTGAAAACCCAAAACAAGTAATTACTCAGTCTGAAGTAAAAACATAAACACATGAGAAATATCTGGTTTCTTTACACTTGTATAGTGTAATGCAGACACAAGCAGATTGCCAAAGCAAATTCATTTTTCAATTAATCCTACAAACTGTACACCTACTATTTAAGCTGCTTTTCCACTGCTTGGTCCTGGCTCAACTCCACTCACCTTTTTTGGTTTTCCATCAGGCAAATCTGGTATCATGTACTATCTTTGTTATCACCTCCATTGAGGCGTCGCTATGACAGTCATCTGCATTGAGGGGGTACTATATCCGCTGTGAAAAATAAGTATCTAGTACCAAAAATGAGCAGAATCGAGTTCAGCTGGTACCATGCAGTGGAAAAACGGCTTAAGTTATTCAGTCCTCCTGAGTCTCGGGAGGTGCTGGAGTCTATCCCAGCGCTCACTGTGGGGGAAGGCAGGAAACACCCTGGACAGGTCGCCAGTCCATCGCAGGGCAAACACAGAGTCACACCTAGGGGCAATTTATTATCTCCAATGAGCCTGACTGCATGTCTTTGGACTGTGGGAGGAAACCAGATCCTCCATTCAGACACAGGGACAACATGTACACTCCAGCGCTTCCCACTGTGCCACTGTGCCGTCCTTTTTAGTTATTCATCTTATGCCTTATTAATAAGTAACTACTATAAATAATTCTGTACGTACTGACCTGTCACGCTTAGGTGGGCCTTAAGGAGTTAATACTCACTTCTAGGTATGCAAATTAAATTGTCCATTTACCTGGGACAGGGCGCTGCATCTTCTCCAACCAGTCACTGCATTTGAGTTGAATTACTTCATTCCCCTCAATCTGCCAGCACTTAGGATCTTCCGCAAATACAGCACAGCAGAATGCTGGGATTTTTATTGCAATAATATACTTCGGGTCCTCTGCAGGTGTTGTAACTGGAAAGACTTTAATCTCTGGAGACCAGCTGTTTCGTTTAGGGCACTGATGCATGTGAAGAGCTCGACTCTGTGCTTTGTTGCATATTTCTCTGGTTTTCTCCTCTAGTTCAGAAGCTGTCATTCCCTTTCCACAGCCGACCACTGTTTTGGTTTTGTCATTTATGCCAATGAACAAGAAGCCACCTGCAGTGTTTGCAAAAGCAGAGAGGTACTTGGGGAGTGTCTCTTGGAGTCTTTGTATCAGTTTTTTTTCACTGTCAAACCTTTTCAACTCAACAGTTGCACTTTCACCAAAGTCTAAAGTTTGATTCAGGCGTGCTGTTCCCTCTTCATAGAACTGACAGGCTTTGTCATGTATAGGATCTTCTCCAGCGTCCTGGTCTTGCTTCCGCCGCTTTAAGAAGTGGTCCACTACGTGCGTAGGGGCTATGGGCAGGGCAGATGTTGCAGATCTTCTCATAAGGCCTGTGTTAAGACAGCAGAGTCGTGCTTGTCTTTCAGCTGAACACCATGACCTAACATAAAATCGCAGCTCATTTTTATTCTGTGTGATCTGAATGAAATCTTGGATTGGCTCAGGATTAAGCAACTCATTTAAGCCTTTTTCTAGATCTTCACCAAGAGCATCTCTGTCATAGATATATTTTTTGTTTGCAATTTTGGCACAGAGGACCCCGCCGCCGGAATTTAGAAGGGCACAGATGAACTTCAAGAAAACTTCACTCTGTTTTCTCCGTCTGTTATTATCCATCTTTTTTCTTGCTTCCTCTCCAAATGTTGTCTCCTCAATCCGAAGCACCAAAGTGCTTTTCAGTTTTCGTGCTTTTTCCAGCGTTACATGTTCTTCTGAAGGCATGCTGTGGGAAACAATTAAAATAAACTTTTAGTAACATAAAGTTGGAGGCTGCAACTTACATTTAAATGTCTGCTGCACTTTGGACTGACTTCTGTTTTCCCTGTATTGAGCCTTAAGCAAAAAGCAGACTAGGCTAAGAAACTTCCTATGAGTATAAAGTGATGGGACCATAGGCTGAAACTGCTGTAGGCTGTTTGGATATGTAAATACACTGCTATAGAAGCACTTTAACTGTATTACTCAGATTTGATTGATTTTTTTATCATTAAATTCCTGATTTATGAATTAATTCAGCTACACCGTAAATAAGGGTCACCCTCAAAGTACTTTGAGTTTAAATAAAGACTGATTGATGATTGATTGATTGATTGATTGACACTAGCTAGACAGCTAACATTTTCTTCACTTTCATTTACTTGCACACATCTCTCTCTCTCTCTCTGTCTCTCTCTCTCTCTCTTTCATTCTCTCTCCATGGTTCCTTTCTTTCTCTACTTGCACTGCTGATTGTCCTACCTTGTTAAAGTGTTCTAGCGTGGCTCCCTACATACAATAAGGAAAGCATTAATACCAGGCCGGTGCACAGACATTTTGGTGGACATTCAGGGGGCAGGGGACCAAAGTAAATAAAGGGCACCGTGCACACCATGCCAGTCAATATAATTTTTACTTGACAAATGCAGTGAAACTGCAGCTGTATATTTTAGTACTATTTACTTAATGTACACTGAGAGGAAAAGAGCACACACAACTACGTGTCTTTCAGTAAGGTATATTTCCAATTACAGAGGGCTCATATTGGCTTCTTATTTCACAAAGCTCATAGGCCATACTTTAAAACATCACTTTTTTAGCTATTAGACCACGAGGGAAATTAAATGATCAGTGTAAACTGCCATAGTCATGGAAATAAAGCTCTAGAATCAACCAGTTAAACAATCTGCCTAATGGGGTGTTTATAACATACGTCTTACAGACAAAATTTAACATTTACTACATTTTAACTACATTCTGCACTTCAGAGACCTACATGTAGATTATCTATCTATCTATATACATATACATACATATATATATATATATATCGCTACTGTCAGAACAAAACATTGTATCTCCAAAATGGTTACTTTAGAGGAGAAGGAAAAAACCCACTTTACTTTGAATGTAAGTCAATGGAACCAGACCATATATGTGTGTATATATAGTAGTTATTATTATTATTATTATTATTATTATTTAATGGTTCTCTGTATAGCTCCAAAGAGGGTTTTTCTATTGTTAGAGGCTTGACATCATATAGACATCATTCTATGCTATATAGAACCCTTTTCAAAAAGTTTTTATATAGAACCTACAGAATCTACAGCACATTCTCTATCAATCTGAAGAAATTTTAATGATGCAAAGAACCCTTTAATCATGCAAAGGGTTCTTTGAGTGTTCACGGTTCTATATAGAACCGTATATAGAACCATTTTGTACGTAAAGAACCGTTGAAGAACCATCTTTGTGGTTTGAGTGGTTTGAGTGTACCCTACTGTTAATGACAGTAAGCTAAACCTCCTTAAGAGTGGACTAACAGTGATGCAGACCGTTCATTTACACGGATATTGTTGAATAACATGAGAGTAAACGCAGCTGTTGAAGCGTTAACTGAGGCGGGGATTCGGATATAAGACACACTCACCTGCTGAATGTGGCGATTCTTCCGTCAGTGGGTGGACTGGGTTAAATGTTCACAGGTGGCACAAAGTGGTCGGTCAGGAGCGCTAAAACTGTCGGAACCCAAGCAGAAGTAACTCACTATATGCGCGGGTCGAGTCTGGACTCTGTCTCGCAGAAGCGCGGCTTATAAAGAAAGACGCCAAAACAGCGCGAATGGAAAAAGCGCGCCAATCTTTTATTTTATTTTTGAATCGTCCAGGCAAAGAAAAACCGGAAGCAAACATTTATTTGTGTTCTTGGCGGGAAACTTTGTGCCGTGCTGTAGCTCCTGCACCTGCCTGCCTGTCTGCTCACAGGTATTCAACACTAGGATTAATATACACTCATAAAACGATTCATTTTCATGTTCTGTTTGACAAATCAAATCTCTTTGGCGACCGCGGTTAAAAGTAGCCCAAAACTGCGCTGAAACCTTTTACTTTTGTAGCGTCCAGGCGAAGAAAAACCGGAAGCAAACATTTATTTGCGTTCGTGGCGGGAAACTCCGAGTGCCGAGTGTCATATGAACTTTCACCTTCTGGTTTCATTCCGTAGTTTTCATCTTGATTTAACAGTTAATCAGACGGTTTGAGTTACAAAGTTTCAACATTCATACTGTTTTTCTCTCCAGTCAGGTGTGCAGTCCGGCTCTTCTCGCCAAGAAGTGACATGTACGAAGGCTATAAAGCTGGAGGAGACGGACAGGGCTGGAGGAGCAGGACTGATGGAGGTGAGTGATCCAGAAGAAAGCGAGATAAAGTTGTTTAAGCTTCCAGTACAGCTTAATACTGAATTTGTTGGAATGTTCTTCCCTTAATATATCCTCATTCATGAAAATCATTGAAAAAAGTGTAAAATGTCACTATGACTATTCAATTCTGTCAACTCGTTTACTAAAGAAATAAATAAAACACTATTTCCGATTGCAGCATCTGAGACTGTACCTGTAGTCTATAGTCTGTGTACACTGTAAAAAGTGGGACTGGGGTTAATTAATAGTTACTAAATAACTAATAGTAACCTCTGCATAATAAAAAGACTATGTTCAGTTAGAAATCAAACTGAGTTGCATCCAGTAAATTTGAATGATTTATTAATTGCATTTTACGCAGTTTTGGTTGAATGAAATTAGCTGTGAACTTACTTATGTTTGATCACGAACAACAATGATGCAGAAAATTGATAGATTTTTCTCATTGGGAGGTCTTTGGTTTTAATCACCTCACACTTTCGCCCAAAGCATTTTGCTTTTAAAATAAACTTTAATCAGAAATCGTGATGAATTGAAACAATGCTGTTGGTTATTTTCTATTTTATTTATTTACAAAAGTCATTACACTTCAAGATTATGGTAAAATAGGAATTTTGTCATACACACACACACACACACAGAAATGAATTGTGGACTTTGGACATTAGCAAGATAAACTAGCAAAGTGAAAAAGATAAGCATGAACTACAAAGGCAACATTGATTTCAGGTTGACTTTAAACATAGTTTAAGTCTCATAAATAAAAGTAGTACAGAGAGTTATTGCAGTTATATAATTTCGGTGAATACTTTCTCTTAAGGAGTCCTGTGTGGCTGCAGACAGAGAGTCTCCTTCACAGAAAGTATTTATCAAAATGACATATTTTCTATGGTAGCTTAGGGTGCTTATACTTCTAAAACTTACGTAATTTAAAAGCAACTCAAGTACAAATGTTTACTGAATACCTTTACACAGGTAATATTTAACCAAGAGCATTTCTGTTTTCACTCGAGTTACTAACACCTGTTTTACACAACAACTAAGAAGTTGTGCACTTTGTCCACCCTGCTCCTCGCTGACCACCTACTCCAGAAGAAACCAGAAAAAATATCTCTAAGGTATAAAAGCAGCATGTTTACTAGACTTGAGAGGCTTGAATGCTTATACAAATGCAGTTAGCCAGCATAAATGTGCCTGTATCTGTTTCAGTTATTGAAGCTAGTCTTTCAAGCTTTTACCAAATGTTTCATCTTTTACAGCCATCCATCCATCTGCTGCTTCTGGTTTTCGACTGATCAGGAATTGTCCCAGGTACTGTAATTTATAGTATCTTTATTGTATTGCTCTTTGTAATATTAGTACATATTATGCTAAATATTTTATTACATCTTTTAGCACAAGACTTTGCCAATATTATGTCTTTTAACATGAATTTGACTCACCTGCTCTGCTTTTTGCTTTACTTTGCAAAACTGTTGTATGAAAACAACAGGACTTTGAAGGTTGTGTGCTATTGTGAAAGACATGGTACAATTATATTCACACTAACCTGCTCTTTCTTGCATTGCTTTGCATATACCTTTGTTTTTCTTGTTGTTACTTTGTAGATTTATTTTGATACTGTTTACTGTCTGTTCAGGATCTTTATCCTTGTTTTGTATGGTTAGTGTTTGTTACTAATTTTGCTCACCTATTTCTTCATTTTACACCAGAGACCTTCACATCTGTTAAGAGCTGAGTATATTTAGCAGGTAGGATTCAGATGTTCATTCACTTGCTGTCTCTCTCTCTCCCAAACATACCCTAGGTATATAATCACTGGCTATTTTTACAGTACTTCTGACTTATAGACAGGAGTCCATTTGTTTCTTTGTACACATTGCCCCCCCCCCTTTTTTTCCTTTTTACCACAGGCAGGGCCACCACAGAGGATTCATGAAACATTCTCAGCACTGTAGCAACACTGATATGGTGCTGGTGTGTTAATGTGTGTTGCGCTGGTATGAGTGGATCAGACACAGCAGTGCTGCTGGAGTTTTTAAACCCTGTGTCCACTCACTGTCCACTCTATTAGACACTCCTACCTTGTCAGTCCACCTTGTAGAAGTCAGAGACGATAGCTCATCTGCTGCTGCACAGTTTGTGTTGGTCATCCTCTAGTCCTTCATCAGTGGGCTATTCTCGGTCCAGCAGTGACATTGAGGTGATTAAAACATTGCTGTATCTGATACAGTACCACACTTACTATGTCAGTGTCACTGCAGTGCTGAGAATGAACCAATAATACCTGTTTTGTGGTGGTCTGGGTGGGTCCTGATCGTTGATGAATGATGTGAAAGGGGGCTAAAAAGGTATGCAGAGAAAAAGATCAGTTACAATTTGCAATTGCAGAACTACAGAGTGCACATATATATTAAATAGACCTGATTCAATAGAAAAGTAAGTAAATACAAGGCAGCATTACCTAATAAAATGGCCAGTAAGTGTACACATATAATCAAGAACAGTGATGCAATTTAATTTGGTATTGTTTGTTAACAACATTGTAGCTGTTACCTACTATTCCACTCAGTATGCCTGAATTGTGTGCAAGTTGTATATATTATGTTTAGGCAGTTAATGCAGTTGTTTCTAAAGGATTTCTGGTGTAATCAGTTCATTTATGCTTACCTGTGAACACAGGTGAGCTTTAAGAATTGTTAACTTTTCAAGACATGATGCAGTATATAGTGTCTTAACATATGATAATGCATATATTACATTCTTAGAACAGTGGCAGATTATTGATTGATCAGCTGTGTTCACCTGTGTTGTACTTCTTCTTCTCCTCTTTGCTTGAGACTAGTTGTACCCAGTACAACAAATATTCTTATGTTAGCTCAACTAAATATTTTAGTACTGACAGATATCAATCAGTAAAACCAGTAATTTACGGAAGTTGACCAAACAAGATAAAGCTAGGGGAAATTAGTATTAGATTTTTTTCTTGTGCAAACTCATTTTTTTTTACGGTGTAGGTGCACAAGGTGGCTGCCGGGCTGTTATGCTTGCTAAGGTGAACTATGTGGTTGCTAAGATGTATTAGGTGGTTTCTAAGGTGTTTGTTGGCAGTTGCTAGGGTGTTTGTAGGTGGCTGCAAGGGTGCACTTGATGGCTGCTAGGCTGTTTCATGGTGTATACTAGGATGTAACAATTGGCTGCTGGGGTGTTTCTAAGTTGTTGCTAAGGTGTCTGATTGACTGGAGGCATCTGCGCCTTTAGGCTACTAGTCGACGGAGGTGAAACAAATGCTGATGATGTCGTAGTGTTGAAATGTGTCCTTGTTTACTTTTCACTCCCAAACTCTATCAGTTATAAAAGTGACCTGCAAAACTATATTTCAGAATGCTGGTTTCTCATATATTTACTACATTGGAGCTTAGTTAACAGCAGAAGGCCTTGTGTTTATCTTCGTGCAAGAAGAAGTTCTTAAAGTTCATCAAAATAGTCTGTACCTTGGATTGTAATGGGTGTTATTTGTTGTTTCCTTTGTAATTTACCATAAGCAGTTGTTGACTCTTATATCTATGCTAACTAATTGTAATTCCTTATGTGTTGTACATTACCATTTACTTAATTTTTTTGCTTAAATTTAGTTCACTTATTTAATGCATTTTAAGCAAAATTTAGGTAATTTAAATCTATTCAATTATATTATGTGTCACGTGTTGCCATAATTTTTTTAAGTACCCATTGGTCACATTTTTCACATTTATTTTTTGTATTTGAATAACATATTTAGGACTTTAGAGAGGAAACAGCATTTCTTCACTTGCTAAAATACATGCACAATTGTTTGTCTGCATTTTCATTTATGCTCTGCTATACTGCCGCTGTCTGTATTCATTCAGTGACTGAGTGTTTCTGATTCTGATTACATCATCTGGTCTGGTCTAAGTTTGAAATACTAACATCATTGTAAAGACTGTGGAAACAATGTTTGGCCATAATGCCAGATGTAATATTTCAGTAAAATCCAAAACTGCTTTTTACCAAAAGAACAATATTCCAACTAAACAAGGGCATTAACGTCTGACCTCAAAACAATTCATTACTATTCTTCAGGAAACAATTCAGTGCATCATAACATATCAAATTTCACTGTGATTTCACTGGTTATTTTGGTCCAGTAGAGAATTATTATTACACTGAACCTGCAAATGTGTAGTGGATTATACGCAATAAAACACAAATCACCAAGATTTCCATTCACAGAAAATGTATTTTCCAGCAGTGCTGTATCATAATTTGGAGATATCAGTATGAGGGGAAACCTTCTTTAAAACCGGTCTGATGTCAGCGGTTTGTTAGCACTCGAGTAAATGCCACTAAAGCATGCATCATCTCTGATTTCTGTCTTTGATTTACAGACATAACCCTATTTTTGTATATTTAGAATAACTTGATAATTTCTGTGTAATACAGAAAGCATGTAGATTGGTTGCAAGTATAAAATGGTATTTTTAAGGCAGTCCAGTTCTCACTGTCACAACAGGCAGGGATCGGAACACAGGCATGTATCAGAGGCAGAAACATATAAAAAAAAAGACAAAGCAGGGGTCAAAACAGGCAAAACAAAGGAGTAAATGTAGCAGACTTTATTAGTTCTAGGATGAGTCACAGGTGTGTGTAGCGCAAGAGAATGGGTGAAGCACGGTTTGGGGCATTCTGTACAATTACTTGTTAAGTGTTAAACAAACAAGTGTTAAGCAAGTGAGTTTATGACAGTTTGCTGCAGCTCGGGAAGCCAGCACTGGATCAGGACAGGGAGCTGGCACAGGAACTACTTGGAAAACTGGAATAGGAGCCTTGTGTGAAGCCAGTACTGGAGCCCTGTGGGGAGCTGGAACGAAGAACAGCACTGGAGCAGCCTGGGGAGCAGGAACTGGAGTGGCCCAGGGCACAGCAACAGGAGAGGCGGCGTCAGTTGTAGTTGCCACAGGTGAGGTGGCTAGAGGAGCCACCACTGGTGAGGCAGCTGGAGGAGGCACCACAGGAGAGGAGGATGTGGAAGCCACCATAGATGAGATGATTTTTAACATTGACATAGATTCAGCCTGAAACACTTTAGTAAAAACACTATTAACTAAATTATAACCAAGTAATTTTAAGTTATTTTACAGGCAAGTTAAATAGACATGATATTATTTGGACAATGCTAACTGAGAGCTATTCATTCATTCACCCAGACAACGAGTTTAGATAACTCGATAAGATGAGGTTTGATGCTACAAACGAGTTTAGATAACTCGATAAGATGAGGTTTGATGCTACAAACGAGTTTAGATAACTCGATAAGATGAGGTTTGATGCTACAAAATATAGCAGTGAAGAACTGAAGAACCAAACTCGGTTCCATTAAAGTGAACTTGAAAGGGAATCAACTCCAAAAGACCTCTTCGCATTTTGCTCTCAGAATAAGCAAGGGTTACTCTCTTTCTGGTCCTCTTTTGCAGTGATAAGATCTCAGACTGCTTGACGTTCACACTAACTCTTCTAGAACTCAGTCCCCACCTGCAGAACACTGAATTATGGGTAGTGTGGTTTAAGCAGAGCCACTGGTTCAAGTTTTTTGTACAACATCTGACTGCTTGTTCGAATCCATGGTAAAATACTCCAGTAGTGGTAAGCTATTAAGGACTATTGAATGGTTACTGTTATTCATGACATTGTTTTTTTTTATCTAAATGATTTTTATTGTATATTGTATTTATTATATTGTATATTATACTTTGGTTGCCATTGTACAAAAGCAAAAAGCCACTCAAATCTGTGTTACCGTCATTTCAAGGCTCTGATTGTTCTTGATTGGCAGAATGAGATGTGATAGATTTGGGTTGAAGGTGAAAGCTACAGGAGGGTTGGTGACTGGAAGACCGTGGCTGTGGCTGTGGCTGTTAAACTTCAAAGCTCTTTTAATGCTCTGGGGTCCACAAACTTGCCTGCACATCAAATTCAATATTTCTATATATGCTTCTTTTTCTTTGTGATAATACAGCACAGAAATACGGTTCAAATATTTCCTGAGTCTGTAGAGTTGCCCTTCCCATTCAGTCTTATCACAAGACCATACATGACTCATGTCCGGAGTTATGAGCCTATGAACAAGGCCTGAGATACACGTCATCAGCCTCTCAAGACACATGTGAAATGGCGTGCAGAGAGTTTACAGCTACTGAAGTTGCTGCAGCGGTTTTGGAAAGTAAATACGAAGATAACAGAGCGTTTTGATATGAAACAAATACACCGATCAGGAATAACATTATGACCACCTCCTTGTTTCTGTGCTCAGTGTCCATTTTATCAGCTCCACTTACTATATAGGTGCACTTTGTAGTTCTACAATTACAGACTGTAGTCCATCTGTTTCTCTGCATACTTTGTTAGCCCCCTTTTAACCTGTTCTTCAGTGGTCAGGACCCCCATGGACCCTCACAGAGCAGGTACTATTTGGGTGGTGGATCATTCTCAGCACTGCAGTAACACTGACGTAGTGGTGGTGTGTTAGTGTGTGTTGTGCTGGTACGAGTGGATCAGACACAGCAGTGCTGCTGGAGTTTTTAAACACTGTGTCCACTCACTGTCTACTCTATTAGACACTCCTACCTTGTTGGTCCAACTTGTAGATGTAAAGTCAGAGACAGCAGCTCGGCAGCAGTGTGTCAGCACAGTTTGTGTTGGTCATCCTCTAGTCTTTCATCAGTGGTCACAGGACGCTGCCCACAGGACACTGTTGGCTGGATATTTTTGGTTGGTGGACTATCCTCAGTCCAGCAGTGACACTGAGGTGTTTAAAATGATTCACTCGTACCAGCGCAACACACGCTAACACACCACCACCACGTCAGTGTTACTGCAGTGCTGAGAATGATCCACCACCCAAATAGTACCTGCTCTGTGAGGGTCCATGGGGGTCCTGACCACTGAAGAACAGGGTAAAAGGGGGCTAACAAAGTATGCAGAGAAACAGATGGACTACAGTCTGTAACTGTAGAACTACAAAGTACACCTATATAGTAAGTGGAGCTGATAAAATGGACAACGAGCGTAGAAACAAGGAGGTAGTCATGATGTTATGCCTGATTGGTGTATATCTGTAGCCTATTTGTTCAATACATGTATTTATTTTTTTATTTATTTATTTTAACATGTTAAGCACTTTTCCCTGTACTTCACATCCACACGATCTTGCATCAGCTCTAGTTTGTAATTAAAAGCATATCAATCGAACACAGGAGCACACATGATCAATTGCTTGAGACCAGCTGATTAAACTTGTGGAATCAGGTCTACTCCAGCTTGACTGGAATGAAAACCTGCAGCCACA